TCAAAGCTTCGCACTGTCACCATGTTTACAATTCTGATTTATTTCATGCTTAAATTGTAGGAACGTTTCTTCACACACAATTTAATTTCCCCTTAAGAAAGACAAGTATATCAAAATGACCTAACAAATTGCCATCCTGGACGTTTTAACTCCGCTCAGTTTTAATTCGCTGCTGATAGGACAATTCTGGTAGGGACTCGGTGTAGGTGCTTGCAAATTCCAGCTGGGACTAGAATTGAAAGCTGCGAAGTGTGAAATACGCCAAACGGTGGGACATCGCGTTCTGTCCGTTCTTTACGCTGCTCTGCTGCGTGCTTCGAAAGGAATGTCAGGATGAACAGAGAAAAATTACGTATGCCAGACTGCAAGCACGGTTGTGACGTCACAGTGCTATTGGCGTCGGTATGTCTTCAGGGCACAAAGTACTACACCGATTGTACGCAGACCGCCTGAAACCTACAAAGAGCCCCGAAACTTATAAACATTAAGATACTCGACATCAAGATGGACAGCATGCACAAATTTAAGAAAGAAAAGCTATAAACATGTCAGCGTAATTACGGGAGTAGTCCGTCAACTCCCGAAACGCCATATCACACAGTGGGCGATGTTCCTTTGTTCGGAATGCTTTGTCAAGAGGACACAACTGCACTCCGAATAGTTATTCTTTGGGAAACAAAACTCATCGAATAATGCGTGGGGCGCCACTCCTCTATAAATGAGTGAAATCGATCGTTTTTGCAAAACAGCAATCTAGTCTGAGATCTAAACCGACGCCAGGGCGTCGTTAAGTCACGATATGCGCGTGACTCAGTCCCGGGGATCCCCATGAACCAGACACAAGTCGATTTCAGGGGTATACAGGCTGGATCACAAGTTAAAAGTTGTGGAGAAATTTAATGTTGTTTCAATCGGTTCGGTGGAAATCCTGCTTTAAATGAAAAGTAATCGAAATTTTAAAAAATAAAAAGCTCATCCGTACAAAAAATTGATAGAACGAAGTTGGCTATCTTCTGGGCTGTAGCGCCATGTAGTCTGGTGGAAGTTTACCAACGTTTCAGGGGTCCTTGCTGCCTCTATCATCAGGGCGATCGCCACTTCGTAGACACCGCCGTGAGAATATAAAAGCTTACTAAATTGATAATACATGCCATAAATAAAACAAAGACTTCATTAACACATAGACCTTGACACTTTTGTGTGTTTTTTGAGGCTGGATGTGATTATGGCCTGGAATTTGGTTGATAGGATGAAAATAAAAATGCTCAGAACAACCGATGTACTTATTAAAAGGTGGAAAAGGGGATCACTTTTTTACAGAGCAGTACTAATCACTACACTGCATTACACTGGACAACCCTTTGTTATAAGCTGGTAGTAGGAATCAATGTAGTCCATTAGTGTATTCAAGTTAGGTGAGGTTGTAAACCTTATTGGCTTGGTCAGTTCGCTGAAGCATTCACGAAATGCAGACACGACGACGCTGTGAAGGAACGACCTTTGAGGTACGAAGGACATAGATTCAAGCATCAAGTGGTCACAAATGAGGTGAACGCGTGCTGCCATGGTAACGTAACCTTTGACGTTTGGTCTCCCACTAGTTGTACGCTTTCAACAAACTCACTTAAGTTACGTCAACAATAAATACAGACGAAAGTCATTCATGATTAAAGACAGCGTCGCTTCAGGTGCAAATTCCCCTTTCCCCTGAAACGTCTAGGACGGCGTGAGGTACGTACATTTATATTAACAGTACTTTTCATGTGTGATAACTCTTGCACGGCTTTCAAAGACAAGGGCTTCAGTAACTTCGACAATGTAGGCGATCGTTTACGTACGCAGGATAACAGGTCAAAGAAACAGGCAAAGGAGTCATCTTTGCCTCCAGAAAGATTCGAACGTGCGCTCCCAGGGGTCCCAAGACCGTATATCACATAAGATGAAGTCCTAGATAAGTTAATAAACCACAGTTAATTTCAAAAAATGTTCCGATCATAATTGACCGGCTAATGTGATAATTTACACACACACGCCGTTCTCCCTCATTACCTAGTTTTCTCCATTGACGCAGCCCCTCTCTCTTGTAAACATTTCTCCGTATCTTGGATTTGATTAGTCATTAGAAAGTGGCTACTGTAACCAGAAATGCAGATAATCGATACTCGGTATTTCTGCTATGTAGTAGAATGCATCATGTTTATATTTCCTATAAGAATTCCCGTTCTTTGCTTGAATTGTTATTTTTGTTTGTACAGACTTCAGCAGACAGGAAGCCGCCACGATGTATTCTAGGGCGAGGGTTCTCAACCTTTTCCAAATCTGGGGCCACATTCGCTCTTTCCTGTCTACTCGCGGGCTCAAACTGTTAAACATGAGGACAATATGTTTAAACGCCATGGAAATATATTAAAATTCTACAAAATAGACGTATTATTATAAACAGGTTTCATACCACTCATTTTTTTAACAAAACCATTCGTTAATTACGTGTGTGGCATTGCTTTTGGATGAGTAATCTTTATATAACAGGTTTAATTTGGGTTTCGCTATTCACACGCAACCCTCCAAGTGTTCGTCAATAAGACACATCCGTGTTCTTAATTTCACGTTCTTCATTAATCTTACAGTCTCTCAAAACGAAAAGAACTGCAAATATTGACATTAACAAACCGCGTAAGATTTTAAGCTTTCACCGCACTACAGGGTGATTCAAAAGACCGTGTGAACTTGTTGTGGCAGATCTACAGGAACTTTTGAATCACCCTGTATATTCCTGTGAGATAAACCACGTTAACACGATGTGTGTCTGGCAGGCGATGTCTGGTCTGCAGACGGGGCCTCTGCTGCCCACAGCCCGGCCGCAGCCGAACGTGACGGCGAGCTGGTTCCCCAGCGGCGGAGTGGCCACCACTACAGTGACCCGCTGCCGCTATCCGGACTACAACTACGACGTCGCTACGGCCGTAATCTGTGGCATGTACCTCGTTTTCGGTGTCGTGTACAGCCTCTTCGGTAAGTATCCTGCTGCGCATGCCCAGAAACGCTAGCCAGATTCGTGTAAAAAGAACTGCTGCACCTCCTACGGGCTGAGCTGTCAAAGATACCCTAAGACACGGCCAAACGAAAGAGAAGGCTTGCCTATACGCATATGATGACGTCACGAATACGTCGTCTTTTGCTTTGCTGGACCGAACTCTGGTCCTAACCAAGATTCCGAATCAGCAACTTAAAAACGAGGATAAGCGAGAACAATATGGTCACAGCAGGAGATTCGAGAATATGGATAAATATGTACGAATATTTTACAAGTTGTAATGAGTTTTTTTTTTCATTTCGCTTATTTTAAAACCAAGATATCAACATGCACATAATAAGATAGTGCTACAGCTTGGGAAAACAGAACGATATAAGTTAACCTGAAGATGACAAAGTACGTAATAATCGAAATACATCGTTCATAGACGAGTCTGGTCAAACAGTGCAATTAGAATAAGCACTGGTACAAGTTGTGTAAAAAATTGACGGTATAATAGAAATTTTACAGTCCATGGCCTCCCACAAAAATATAAGCCGTCTTTCTTTGAATCTTTCCAACCATTTATAACTTCGCCTCTGCCTGGCTGAACTGTAATTCGTTGAACATAAAATTCAAGTCACAAATCATTGTTCTTCTTTGGTGCATTTTGCCAATGGAGCAGCCATTGTTGCTCAAGGACACTGACAAGCAATCAAGTGCAAATAACGGAAGCTTCATATTGTTTTATTTCTTCGCATTTTTAATGTTGCCAACACCACTTTTGAGGAAAACTAAAATTGCCTTTGTTTCTTACTTCCCTCGGTTTGAAATTTAAACCACTCTATCGCCCTTAACGAAACCTCGCCGACATCAATCCGAAGTTTTATTACACTGGCCCCATTACAGAACCGCGAAGGGCCACTGGCAATTGTGTAGATACTAAAGTGGGTTAAGTGTGTGAGCTGCATCCGGTTCGGCTCTCTTCTGTTTATTTGCTCGTTGCGTATCAGAAACAGACAGCTGTAAGAAACCCGAGGAGGCCACAGGAAGATTTCAACCCTCGTGTCGCTAACTTATTAATTCAAGAGTCCATTTTTCACCTAAAGACTTACAGAATGTATATAAATTATTTTACGTCGCTGTTACAACTGCAGAGATTATACAGCGGATTATTAGGTAGCAAAACAATTATGAATGGTGAGATTCACCTGGAAAGACTGAGGACAAACGCGAATATCCTTAGTTGTCTTCTGGGTTGCTGTGCAGTAACAGAAACGTCGGCCCTTACTGGGGCCCCAAGAACAGAAATTCTTGCCAAGAAACTCGTGTCTTGCTCTTAAAGAGACCTTCTTCCATTAAAACTCTGCATCACACAAATGCAAACATTTGAAACCAACGTCTGTTTGTTCAGGAAGGTATGTGGACCTAAGATTGAAGAAGTGAGCAATCTTGGTGATGTTCTATCGTGCCTAGTTTCCGACATTAAAGAAATATTTCTCACCGAAACTAGAACCCAGGACACGTTCTGAAATCTCCTCCTGGTTTCAGCTCATAATCATGCCAATGAACACAGCAAAATTCGAACCCATGACTTCCTGCAGACGTTCTGGAAGTGAGCACAGGACAGCTATGCTGGCTTGCCTGGAGTCTAGTTCGGCCGGCAACCAAATTATTAATACATGAGCGAACAAGCACTCCATCAGCCTCTGGCCTAACATTAATGACCTGACCGTGGTATAATACAGTTAAATCTGTAGTTGCACACATTGAAACGTCTCCCTTTAAAGTATGAGACGTCTTAATTCTGTTTTGAATGAAGGGCTTTATGAAACACATCACTCTTTAGTATTCACGTAAATGCGCACAAAATGTGCTTGTAGGAGTCATAAATAGTTCAAACGAACCCTCAACTAACGAAGACTAGTTTCAGTTTATTTTGGAGATGTAGCCTCAAAGGTTAACGTTTCTGGTGCCAAAATATCTAGCCACTGGCTACACGCACATTTCTCCTTCGGAAAGCCAACATCGAAATGCCTTTAAAACAGATTGCACCACTTCGCTGCAGTTCTACTTTCGGATATTTTACAATTGATCAGAGGAAGAAGAATTCAGAGAAGAATTGGGGTCGTCGGTGCACCAGGCAGGGAACTGAAAGTTGAGCTGCTGGTTTTGTTTCACTTGTCTGCCACAAACCACAACAGGTCGAAATGGAAACTAACCAGCCGAACTGGGTTCAGAACAGGCTTGGCTGTCCTGGGCTTCAACCGAGAAAGTCAACAGTGGACCACGAGTTCGATCATGGATGTATGTTCAAAACATCGAATGTCAGGCACAGCATAGAATTGAATTTCATTAATTATGTCAACACCATCCCACCATATTTCAAGATCCACTCCAGTATTATCCCTCCGTCAACACCACTGTCTTCCAAGTGGTCTCAACCAAAACTTCACATGCATTTCAAATATCTTCCATGCGTTCTCGTGAGAGTCTGGTCTGAATTAACGATAACAGGTATCAGCCCTGCATCAGCTGTGATTGGCTACCGACGTGTAATTCACTAGGCGACATACGATGGAGTGAGCGCTTTGCCACAGCATCACGGCCACACAGTTACCACGGCGGGGAGCCATTACCATGGTAACATCATTGTGGTGGTGTGCTAACAGGGGGCCTGTCAACCTGCCACGCAAACCAAGTACCAATGTCGAGTCTGCGAATGTTTGACAACAGTCAATAAAACTTTACATCACATATGACATGGTGACACAAAACAAGAAGAAAATTTAATCCGTAGGAACCTCATGATTTTTTCCAGTTTTCGTTTCTTTTGCAATTTTAAGAACTTCACAAACCACACGGAATTCAGAGTTCGGGAATAACTATCTGTTCTTGAAGCAAGACTTTGCATCACAGAATTCATTATTGTTTTCGGGAATCAGCTACGGGGAAATTCGCTTGTCGGAAAGAGACGACGTGTGGTATTAATGAGCGTGACGGAAGGGCACAAAGAATGCAAAATTCCAACCAGCCGACAGCTTCACTGAGGTAATGGGCGACATAATGAACTGAGAAAGCTCTGTAAACAAACAGTGCCAGGGGTTGGCAGCAGTGCGTGGCAATATCGATCCGCCACGCCCAGACTCCACGCTGCTCTTCGCATTTGTTGTGACGCATCTCAGGGATCGGAAAGGAGTTGCTAGTCACTAGTCTCTTGCTACAGTTCTAAGGTAGCCATTTGGGCTATCAAAAATTCTGTTTTTGAAAGAAGGACTTTGAGCAGGGGTTTGGAAATCACGTAAAGTTATCCTAGAAGCTAAACGAAGAACCACGCCATACAGAACGGGAGAGTGGAGGTACAGCTCCACGCATTGGATGAAAGTGAGTGAGGTGTCAGCTTCACGCCTGACCGCTTTGCCAGAGCAGAAAGAACCTGGTATTTACCGGATAGAAGGCTGGCTGGATCCCAGAACCGGTTTGGACTCGTGGGGGATGAGAAAATGTTAAAATGCCAAGAATCGAACGCCAGTCTGCCAGTTCCAACACCGACTTGGTTATCCGCTCTCTGAATAACTTTGGCGGCCTTCTGGCACCCAGAAAGTATCTTTTTTGCAGATGAAACTAGAGAATTATATTTTTATTTAATTCATCCCAAATAAATGACCAAATTGAGAAATTAATGAATTGAAATTTTGTAGTTGTTGCTGATGAGCCAAGACTGCACAGTAAATATAGTTTTTCAAATGATTTTCTTCTGGGTTGTAGTGTCGTGTAGTCTGGTACAAGTTTACAGATTTTTCAGAGGTGCTTTCTGCCTCCATCATCAGAGCGATGAGTACTCACTGCCCAGATGATGGTATCCGCCGTTCTACCCTGTGTTCAGCCAGTTCAATCCAGTCCCCACTTTTAATATTATCCTTCCAACTACACCATGATCTGCCTTCCTATTTCGTTCACATGTTCAAACCAACACCTTTATGCATTTCTCGTGCTTCCTTCCATGTGTGGTACATCTCGTGCATCTTCGCTGAAACCATGGCTCGTATACCGTTGACTGAATTATCAGGTTTGAAAAACTGACAGTTGCCCCCAAATAACAACGATCCCGGCACCACGCCTCATTTGAGTGCGCGTCTCTAAGTATTTTCGTTGTACAAACATAACTCTGATTACGTAATTAGTGGTGTGCGTAGTAGTTGACAGTCACACGACAGCCCACACAAATTCCATTACTTTGTGTATGGAGCAGGGACGGTGTGAACCTCGCACTGGCCTCATATTGGAAGAGAGCCGAATAAGTTCCTGATTCTCTTCCAATAGGAAGCCAGTGCTTTGTTGTTGTGTGCTCCATTTTCATCCTCACAGACTATGGAAAGATCTTGCCTCTGGAAGTCATTCAGATGTCATATATATTTTTAAATTCCGTGCATTCCAGGATTCAAACATTGCGGTCGTGCGAACATTGAAGATGGGTGCTAATACCTTTCGATGTGCCAGTATGCTGAAAACACGTGTGTGGTTTTCTGGGTCATGACACTTGTATAAATCCAAAATCTAAAATTTCACCTCTGCGAAAACCTCAGATCTCATATGTGACAGAAGAATTTTTAAAACATTTAAATTTCGTTCGTGTAATATATGTCTGAAGCCGCGATATGGAAAGGGGTTACAAAACTGCCAACACATTCGAAATGAAACCATTTTTTTATGAAACTATGTTTGCAATGATAGCCATTCATTACTAGGTCATATTTCGCCAGATACGACTATCAGAACAATGAAACTAAGTGACCGGAATTTCAGTAATTTTGTCTAAATGAGCACGTTTTAAAGAGGTAAATCAACGAAACATTGCGTTTCAAATGTTTTGTCTAATTAATATCCTATTTTTGTCCAACATACTTGTTTCAAGTGGCAAATTTTTAAAAGCTGTGCCTCAAATAAAATTAGATATTTCAGTGCTGAAGTTTTTCCCACTTTTGGCTAAATTCAGTCGAAGTCTCCTTTTCAGATACATTCGTATAGACGAACTTAGGAAGCGGTTGGCCATATAAACAATCTCCTAAAAATGTGAAAAGCATTTTAATGTAACCGGTCGGGTCGCTTCTGGATCCGCGCTTACTGTTCGTCGAACTTCCATATATTAATTCAGTACAAGTCACTGGAACAAGGCTCTTGAGGCGCGTTACGTCATCTATGTAAAAAAGTTAACGTCCCCGTTACACAGTAGTGACATTAAAAGCTATTTCCAAACCGTGTAATTGGCAACTGCGGGCGGCAGGACACATTTCAACTTCACCTATGATATTGCATGCCCAAGAAAGCTCTTCAGGAATAAGGTGACTCAATTTAACTAACGTCTGAAAGGATTAAACCAACGCAGAGATCAAGAACTAGAAGGTATCTTCAGCCAGTTCATTCCAGTCAATATCACGCGATCCTCAAGATCTATTTTAATACGACGTGGACGCTTACAGCTTTCCGGGTAAAAGTTATACAGCCTGTCTAACCCAGTCTTAGCCTCTGCCATGTAATTACTGCAACAATATTAGACGAAGCGTGTGAAATACAGAGTTTCTTGTTATGTAATATCCTTAATTTCCCACTCACTGCGCCTGTCTCACGTTCAGGTATTTCCCTCCGAAATTAGTTTTCAAATACTGTTAAATTTATATTTTTCCCAGCGTCTGAGAGACCACGTGTTACAATCACAGAAATCGAAGGCCAAAGTAAGTGTTTAAAACGCGTGTTCATAACATACTTGTCAATTGGACAGTCGCAGATTAATGTCTGAAACCGTAGCACATAGTTTTATTGTCCGTTCTACAAGAAGAGTGTAACTGGACCCAGTAGCAAATACGTCTAGACGTACTGTGCCTACAGTAGGCCACTTTGGTTGGTTCATCGATTAAAAGCTTCGCATAAAATGTTTCGTCTCTAGAAACAGAGTAAAACCATGAAAACACTCAGCCTGATAAGCTGGTACGCTGGTCGAGATTCGAAACTGTACATTCCATACAATGCACTCGCCACAATTGTTTCCTATCTGTGCAGGGTCTTAAGTTTCGTGGCGTCCTGTTCTGTCGAGTGCTGTTCTATTCCGGGTCCGAATTGGATGCGGACCAGATCCGCGCTGATTAACGTCTTATCAAGGACATTTCACTTGCGACTGCTATTTTACGAGCTGCCATCTCGTTCTTCGGTTGTAATATTTAACACTTATTTTGTTCTCTATTATTGTTATTCTCCACAGAATCGTCCACACTCTTGGGCGGGGTGTGTAGACGAAATGTACACAAATTTTGTCCAAAAATCTGAACAGAAGAGACCACGTGAGAGACAGACTTAGACTGGAGATAATATTAAAGCGGATTTAAAAGAAATCGGATGTGAAGTTGCACAAGACACAAGATGAAGCCCGAATATAGGTACTTGTGAACAAGGTTATAAGCCTTCGGGTTCCAGAAAACGCGGGAATTTTTTTGACCAGCTAAGCGAATGTCAGATTCTCAAGGTCTCTTTTCCATGGAATCATGACCCTCCGCGAGATGCGTGTGCCTGCGATCTGATACGACAGACCGAACGTCGCATGCTCAACCTCCATACGTAGGTGCAATTATCGATAGCAGAAAGTTAAAAATATACTTCACAATGAGCCGACGGTTGTAACAAAGGAGATGCGAAATTCTGAACGTCATTTATCATAATAATCACCACTAATTAGCCTAATGACACCAAAATAAATAACTGTATCCCTGCTCCTGTACTTTATTACTTCTGATTGCCTGTTATTCTACTATAAGAAACACATTTTATCGCAATCTTTTGCTCGTGTAATTATTTTCACTTCACAAACAGCGTAGAATGTTGAAAGTTATCCATCGTTTCCGCAAACACTGAAACTGCCATACTCAGGGTGAATATGGACACTTGCAATGTTTGCCGACATGTCCGACGCGGCTCATCTCGGAAAACCGATGTTGTGCTGTGAAATATACAGTACGCTGACTCTTATGTTCTCATTAATGTTTTAGGGTACCGGTGCTTCAAGGCCGTTATGTTCCTGACCGGCTTCATCTTTGGCTCCATCATCGTGTACCTCATATGCCTGCAGGAGAAGCTGCTGCCCGCTTATGGCAACGCAGGTACAGTACTTGCCCCAGAGGATAATTCATTAACGATGTAATGTGGCCCGTGTTCTTAGTCGGGTGACACCAGGCGAGAGCGAACTCCGGTCTTCAGCATCTGACAGTAACATTTTTTCCACAGCATGTCCCCATTTTGACAAGTTTTCTGGGGAAATTCACAGTAAATAACGATTCTGATTTGTGTGGGATAGTTTCATACACTATTTTACTGGTCCTGTGGCTGTGTGAGATTGTAGACTGAATAACACTCGGAAATGAAGCTAATTTCAGACATGATTCCCAACATACTGTAATTGTAAACCGTAAAGTCGTCCCACTACGAAAGTACCATGTCATGAAGATCTCGGTACGAGACGAAGGCAAGTGGTTAGTTTCAGGCTCCGGTCGCTTCATACCCACGGGAAGATTCCCAGTAACTCATTGGATAGGAGAATGGGTGGGCCTCTGATCCAATATGAACATGGTGACGAAGAGAAAAATATGTGCACCTGCCGGGCATCGAATGCCAGTCGTCAATGCCGAAGACAGTTACTTTACAGACTGAGCTAGTGGTGAGCTAATTTCAGAACATTAATTATAGTCATTAATGTAGAACGACGCTCATTGTGAAACTAAGAGTTGCAAATATTAAACCAACTCGTTCATGTTTTGTTTTGGACCACGTCCTGTCACTCCAGAATAGTTCTAATTGAGCTAAATCTTCAAAACAAACACAAATAATATGGCAACTAGAAGATAACTATTTATAAAAAAAAGCTTACAGCAGTCCCCAGAGTAAGACCTTACGTAGGTGCGTTTAATTTCTTTAAACTTAATTTCTGTGGGTTTTTTAGGTGAGCGAATTCGTGTGGACCTGTCGCACATAGATATTAATGGGGAATCCTCCACAAACTTAGATACCTCAAGAGATCCACACACGACTCACAGTCGAATAAATTCCAGCTGTAATCTTTCCCACCCGATAAATCACCGCCTATTCGTATGTTACACAGAAGAATCTCCTTAGTGGCAGTTTGTCATTCGGTTACAATCAAAGTATATTCTATTTACACTGCGGTTATTAACAAGGCCATAAAGTCATATTTCGTGAGGGAAGGCGTTATCTTACCTTTGTGTCTGTTTTCGGGAACGGCAAAGCGATGTGTGAAGTTATAACGTGAAAGAGGATGAACTTCCCGATGACGGTATTCTGAAAATACAAAACGTACCAGCTGAGCGGTCTTTGCGCAAATTACACAAAACGCCTTGCAAGACACCCCCCCCCCCAAAACAAAATCACTTCTTCGAAGACGACTGACTGTCTTCTCGGATGTTGCGCTGTGTAGTCAGGAAGCACCCGTCAGACGTCGGTTAGTTCCTACTGACCCCACGGCGCAATATCCCAGACGACATTCATCTTCATATCGTCGATGTGAGAACCTGAAATCTCACAATATTTGTTTGCGTCTTTAGTTTATTTAACGCCGCTGTGTCAATTTCAGACATTATACATCACCGAATGGTACAGTGAAGTCTGAATGACTGGTGGTTTTGGAAGGACGTGGGTTAAGGACACAATGCTTATATTTAAGGAACTATCCCGGAATTTGCCCAGGCAGGACGGATCTTAAACAGAACAGCTGGTCACACGACCAAGATTTGAATCTGCGACCTCCCGAATAACAGACAGGCATGGGACAACTTCATTCTTTCAGCTGAAACGAAAGGTTCATTATCGTGTTCAGAGAGTCCAGTGACTGGACCATACCGTGAGCCAGCTGATTCCGGTTATTGTTCTTACACCTAATTTACCTAGACGACCATTCTACTCCTACTTCTTCCAATGGTCTCTTCTTTTCAGGTTTTCCGACCAAAATCGTGTATGCATTTCTCTTCTCCCCCGCTCTTTCTATATACCGGCATCTCATCCTCCTTGGCCCTAATTTCACCCTACAGGGTTAAACTCTTATTATCCTTCTTCCGTAATCTTTCTCGGGTGATTCCTACAATGGAGGCAATGGTGGACTTTGAAGTAGGCGAATTAAATTAAGTGGCTGTAGTCCTCTTCAGCCACCTCACAAGATTCCCAGCGAAACACGTGCT